TTGGGGGAGAGATTTCTGTGTTTTCTCAACACCGAGCATCTCCTGGAGCACAACCTTGTCCCAATGCCCAGATGAGAGCACAGAGCTGAGAGCCAGACTCAGTTCTTCACTCCTCTGCCTTGAAGAGTTTGAGGTCGCCTTTGTTTTGTGGAGACAGAGGTGGAGGCCTGGGGGTGCCTGATTCCCCTGGGGGCTGGAGAGAGGTGGTATCAGAGCTGGGGGAAGGCTCAGGATGTCTTAACTCCAGGTTTCTCCTCACATTTCTGAATTGCTTCCCCTTGGGAGCCTGGACACAAAGCCATATAATAATTCAGGTGGGAAGGGACCTTGGGATGTCTCTGAGGCATTGTCCAGCGAGTTTTGGATATCTGTTGGTCTCAAATCCTCCTTCAAATCCTATTTAAAGCTCTTTCCCTGAGTCCTCCTAACTTCTGCAGGATGATCCTTTTCTCCCTTTGAAGCAGCTGAACCCTGTCTGTTGCCACCAGACCTGGTGTGGTGTAAACCAATCCATGATCCAAAGCCCCAGAATTCCTGCTCAGAGCCAGGTGCTGACCTCTTGGCTTTTCCTGCTTTTTCCTTCATCATTTCCTGCAGCTGGGAGGGCAGAGAACATCACTTGTGTGATATGGTGGCAGGAGGGAATGTTCTTCTTCCTCAAGAACTTGGGGTGGGAAACTCAGAGTTCCTCAAATGCCGCTTCTAAATCCACTTCAGCACTTGTGGTTTCCCACTTTTCCAGGATGAGCACATGGAGGGGCTCTTGGAGCATTTTTCCAGGATCCCTTTACCCCACACGTGTCCGTGTGGATGAGGAGCAGGGCTGGGAGCAGGTTTGGCTTTGCATGGAACTGCAAACGTGCAGAATGTTCCTTGCCTTGGATAAAACTCCCTGAAGGCAGGGGTGCAGTTTATCCCTGGAATTTCCAGATTACAGAACCTTTTACCTGTGCATATAACAGCATTGATCTCAGCCTGGGGGGATTGCTCTGTACCTGTGAGCTCTGGAGATGCTACAAATCCCTCAGGATGATCCCTAAGACTCCTGCATGCAATTTCAGAGTGAATTTTTCCATCTGCTCCTTTGATGGATCCGCTCCCAACCAACTGTACCTTAAAGCACACACCTGATGGATTTATTCTCCTTGTTCAACTGCTCCTGTTCCCAAAGTGATTGGAAGATTTGAGATGTAATCCTTCCCTTTGAGAGCATTAGGAAATGATAAAAAGTTATCATTGCTGAAGGGTTGTTTGGGGTTGGTTTTCTTCCACTGCAGCCTGTTCTGAAGGGGAGAATATGCTGTATTTTTATTTTCTCTCTTTGATTTCGTTCCTAATGCTGATGAAAGAGAGATTTGGCAGTAGAAGGTGTCTCTCCAAGCCCAGATAAAGCATGGGAGCCACTTCCACACTCGCTGAGGTCCTGTTCTGTTTGCCAGGAGGGAGCTGGCGTGGCAGAGGTGGGTTGGTTTGTTCTCCATGGAGAGCAGCAGAAATTTGTGGATGACAACACTGCAGACCCCTCATTTCTTAAGGAAAGGGAGTCAGGATGAGTATGGATGCACACAGAGAGTTTGGGAACTCTGATTTGGCAGGTGCAGGAGGATCCCTGTGGATTTTCCTCCCCACAGTGCAGTCCTGTTCTGCCTCATGGCTGTGCATTGCTCTGCTGAGCTCTGAAGGACCATAAGTTTAAATTTTCCAGGCTCTGTTCACAAATATGCTGAGAAAAGAGCAGCATTTCCCTAATTTTATAGCAAGATGGATAACAGAGGTGTAAGCAGGGAGGAGTAGGGGTGCTCAAGTCTTTGAACACTTGCAGAGTAATGGCTCCACAAACACTCACAGATCAGACCAGCTGGGTTATTTCTAGAAATGCAAAACGAGGGAGAACCTCAGGTAATTCCCATAACTCCACTGGCACAGGGAGTGCCTGCTGTGGAGCTGAGGAAAGCTGGGAATGCAGCCCAGGCTTTGACAATGTGCTCTGAGCAGTTGAATTTCATGGGAGAAGGAGCTGCGGTGTGCAAACCTGAGAACTCAGTCAGGTTGGCATTTGGGAAGAGGCTCTGGTAATTATTGATCTTCTGATCCCCTAAGAGCTCTTCCTGCCTCTTTCTGTGTGTGTAATCAGCTCCATCAGGCAGCAACACTGTGCTATAACATCAACAAGAGTTTTCAGCGTGGAAATTGGTGAGTTTAAAGAGCTAAATAGTACTTGGGAGTGAGAGGGATGAGTTGGCTGGAAGGCCCAGCAGCTATCCCGCTTCTCCTCCTCCCAAATTTCTTTTTGGGAACGATGGGAAATCAGCAGCCTTTTCCCCCAAGGCTGATAAACACAGCCCTGAAGTTTCTCTTGATAAAACCACAGATTGGGTTTTTACTTTGTCTTTTTTTTTTTATAAGTCCTAATGGCAGCGTGTGACAACCTCAGGCTCGATTGAGTTGATGAGGAATAAAGTCTTAATAGTGAAGAAGAGTCCAGGAGTGTGTCTAAAGTGCTCATTTTATCGCCAGCACATATTTCATACTGACAGTCCATACTTTTAGCTAATCCCAAGCCACGTGTGATGCATTTTAAATCCCTCCTCAGCCTGCTCTGGTCTTTCCCTTGTGGTGTTTTCCAGGAGAGCAATGGAGTCACATTGGCAACTTTAGATTCCTGAGCACAGGGATATTTTTAATTCACAACCCATATTTTGAGGTGAGGAGGATGAATTTTGTTCTGTGTCAAGGAAGAGAAGGAGCAGAGGATCCACTCTGTCAGAACATCTGCTGAGGATCAGGTGTGGGGTGATGGATTTGGCTTTTCCAGGACCCCAGCTGCCATTTTAGGGAGTCCAGTTTGCCTTTTCATTACCAATTATGACTCATAAATAGCCAAAGTAACCACAAAGCAATAAGATTTTGACGCAATCTTACCTTTGGGGCTCCAATGCCACATTTATGATCCCTCATTTCTGTGTTGCCTCAACACCCTGCAGTGTTTGACCCCACTTACCCCGTGGCACCCCAAACAAAAAAAAAACCCAGCAAAGCTTGTTCTCCCTTGAAGTTAAGCTGATTTTTAGATTCTGGTGGTGTTCAAGTGAGTGTGTGCTTTGGCATTTCTCTCAGGAAAAGCATTATTAGGGCAGCTCATCTCCTGGCCAGCTGTTTGCAGAAAACTGGTGGCAACTGGGGGATCTTTACAGCCCCCGTGAGACCTGAAATAGCAGGGACTGGCACACACACCCAGCATGAGCTGCAATTCCTGCAGAGGGCCTGAAAAGGGGGGGAAAGAAAGAAAAATAAAATAAAACCTTTTTTTAAATTAATTTTTTTTTTTTAGCCTTTGGTTGTATGTTGGTGCCTGCTAAAATCCTGCTACTGGGCAGAGCAGTCCCAGAGGCTGGAGCCTCCCATCTGCCCACAGCCGTGTGGTGCCAAGATCCAAGAAGGCTGATTTAGCCTTTTGCTGACTTTTTAGCCCCTTTATCCTCCTGGCTTTCTGAGATTTGCGCCACTGCTGTTTGCCAATGTCATGAATTTAAAATCTGCCTTAGTTTTGAGTGTTCATTCTGCTGTGCAACTGGGCTGTGGGTCACGTTGGTGGGAGGGGATGGAAATCCCATTTAATCATGGGGTGTTAAGTAAGTGACAACAAATGGCTGTGTAACAATAGCCCTGGGGATTGTGCTTTATTACCCCACATATTTCCCCTCTTCATGATGATTTTTCATGGTTAAAATCAAATTTCCCCTTTATTTTCTCTGATGTGCGCTTGAATTCATCACTGAAAATTCCTCCTGACTTCTCTCTGCTGCTTTAAGGTGAACTTTTTTTTTGCTTTGGCCCATTTCCAGATCTCTCTTTCAGCTGAGATTTGCTTCCTCACCTTCTTTCTGGGAATTCTTGATGAGTAGATGAGAAGGGCATTAAATAGATTTAGTGAAAAATGACCGTCACCAGCGTGGATGACTTTCTTCTAATTAAAAATTGAAACGGAAATGAATGAGCTTCTCTTGAGGCCATGCAGGAGCTGATGCTAAGCCCAGCTCTATATTCATCAACGCTGTGGGAAGTCCAGTGTATGAAAGAATATCCCAGAAACTTCAGTACCTTGGGGGATGCCAATAAACGGGGAGATTTTCTAGTGACAGCATATTGATGTGGCCTAGATTTAAATCTCTTGGCCCAGAGCTGAGTCAGAGCTGAATTTCATGGAATCACAGAATGGATTGGGTGGGAAGGGACCTTGAAACTCATCCAGTTCTACCTGCCATGGGCAGGGACACCTTCCACTATCCCAGGTTGCTCCAAGCCCTGTCCAGCCTGACCTGGGACATTTCCAGGGATCTGTGGGCAGTCACAGCTTCTCTGGGCAACCTGTGCCACCCTCACAAAGACCAATTTCTCCCAAGAGAGAGGTTCCCAACAGATCCTAACTTCAGCATCTTTGCTTTGATGTACGGTGTAAACTTTTCTAGTGTTGACCAGAAATTCCCTCATACTCAGCCAGCCAGTTAAATCGTAACCAACACGAGTACGTTCCCTTTAAACTTCCTCATGCAATGAATCAAAATTTTCCAGCAGGAAATGAAAGCAAAACACTCCATCTAAAAATTCCTCATCAGCTCTAGTCACCAGAGCAGAACAATGGCGATTACACTCAGTTGTGCAGTGCAAATTCCCAGCACTGCTGCGTCCCGGGATCACAGCGGGGCGGGCAGGGAGAGCAGGTGTATGTCAGCGCCTCTGGTTTGGATGTGAGGAGAGGTGGGAAAAATAGGGATCCAGGTCCAGGGCTGAGGAGGTTGTGTGGTCTGGAGCAACCCTACACAACCCTAATGAGGAGCAGAATGTGTGTCCCCATCTCATGGATCCCACCTCCTTCTCAGGTGACAGCCCAGAGGTTGTTCTTCTGAGAGAGGACAATTGCTTTTAAATATAACCATGTTTTAGGTCACTAGCGGGTCGTTTTGGTTGTGTTGCCTGACTGTGTGATTGTTCTCTTGTAGGAATGGCAGAGCTTCACCCTCCCAGCAGCGATGAGAGAGACTGACAGTGTTACGAGTCCCTTCTGGCTCCGTCTGCCCGACGGCTGCTGCCTCTGCATATTCATCGGATGGTAATGCACGATGTCGGCAGCAGCGGTAGAGTTTGGCTCGGTCCCACTGCGTTTTTCTCCTGCCAGTTGTGACTCTGAGTCACCATGACAACGCTGTGACACTTCCAGCAAAGGTTGCCCACGGACCAAGGGTGGGCTGGGGGTGGGCGAGAAGGTCAATGATCGAGTCTGATGGGGTCAGGAGTTGCACCTGCAGCAAAACGACCGTGGAAGAGCCGCCGGCACGGCAAGAAGATGAAATTCCCCTTCCATTGGCTTCTTGTTGAGCAGGCACAATAACATTTCCCTTCGAGAGACTCGCTGTAAAAACTCTTTTGGTTATGGCTACTGATCCGACGTGATTGCACGTGCGGCGACTCGGGAACTCATGACTGGCTATACGATGTTGCGCAATGGGGGAGTGGGGAACGGAGGCCAGCCGTGGGTGTTGAGGTGGTCCAGTCGGATCCGGCTCACCTGGCTTAGCTTCACCCTCTTCGTCATCCTCGTTTTCTTCCCCCTCATCGCCCACTACTACCTGACCACCATCGACGACGTGGACGATGCCGGCAAGCGCATCTTCGGCCCGCGCACCGGCAACGAGCTGTGCGAGGTGAAGCATGTGCAGGACCTGTGCCGCATCCGCGAGTCGGTCAGCGAGGAGCTGCTCCAGCTCGAGGCCAAGCGGCAGGAGCTCAACAGCGAGATCGCCAAGCTCAACCTGAAGATTGAGGCCTGCAAGAAGAGCATTGAAAATGCCAAGCAGGACCTGCTGCAGCTGAAGAACGTCATCAGTCAGACCGAGCATTCCTACAAAGAGCTGATGGCTCAGAACCAGCCCAAGCTCTCCTTGCCCATCCGGCTGCTGCCAGACAAGGACGACGCGACCTTCCCCCTGCCGAAATCCAACAGGAACTGCAGGCTGCACAACTGCTTTGACTACTCGCGCTGCCCGCTGACGTCTGGCTTTCCAGTCTATGTCTACAACAGTGACGATTACGCTTTTGGTAGTTCCTTAGACCCTTTAATTAAACAGGCCTTTGAGGCGACTGTCAGAACTAATGTTTATGTTACTGAAAATGCAAATATTGCTTGTGTGTATATAGTTTTAGTGGGGGAAATGCAAGAGCCCGTAATGCCAAAACCTACTGAACTAGAGCAACAGTTGCACTCTTTGCCATATTGGAGGACTGATGGACACAACCATCTCATCATCAATCTATCGAGGAAGTCGGAAACTCAGAACTTCATTTACAACATCAGCACGGGGCGCGCCATGATCGCCCAGTCCACCTTTTACGACGCCCAGTATCGACCAGGCTTTGACATCGTGGTGTCACCTCTGGTCCACGCCATGTCCGAGCCCAACTTCCTGGAGATCCCGCCCCAGGTGCCGGTCAAGCGTAAGTACCTGTTCAGTTTCCAGGGGGAGAAGATCGAGTCGCTCCGCTCCAGCTTGCAGGAGGTTCGCTCTTTCGAGGAGGAGATTGAAGGCAACGCCCCGGCCGACTATGACGACCGGATCATCACCACCTTGAAGGCCGTTCAGGACAGCAAGCTGGACTTTGTTCTGGTGGAGTTCACGTGTAAGAACCAGCCCAAGGCAAGTCTGCCCACTGAGTGGGCTCTGTGTGGAGAAAGGGAAGACAGACTAGAGCTACTGAAGCTTTCTACTTTTGCACTGATCATCACCCCCGGGGACACCCGTTTAGTGATCTCCGCCGGGTGTACCATGAGACTGTTTGAGGCTCTGGAGGTCGGGGCCATCCCGGTGGTTCTCGGAGAGCAGGTTCAGCTACCCTACAACGATGTGATCCGGTGGAACGAGGCAGCCTTAATCATACCAAAGCCACGTATCACAGAAGTGCACTTTCTTCTGAGAAGCATTTCTGACAACGACCTCCTTGCCATGAGGAGGCAGGGCCGCTTCTTGTGGGAGACCTACTTCTCCACCTCCGACAACGTCTTCAGCACAGTCTTAGCCATCATAAGGACTCGAATCCAAATCCCAGCTGCTCCTATCCGAGAAGAGCCCGCCGTGGAGATCCCCCACCGGTCTGGCAAAGCTGCTGGTACAGACCCCAATATGGCAGACAATGGTGACCTGGACCTGGGGCCTGTGGAAACAGAGCCGCCCTACGCCTCTCCCAAATATCTCCGCAATTTCACCCTCACCGCGATGGATATCTACAGGAATTGGAATTCTGCCCCGGGGCCTTTCCACCTCTTCCCCTACACCCCCTTTGACCCCGTTTTACCATCAGAGGCAAAATTTTTGGGGTCTGGGACTGGATTTCGACCAATTGGTGGAGGAGCAGGTGGCTCTGGGAAGGAGTTCCAGGCTGCTTTGGGTGGCAACGTCCCGCGGGAGCAGTTCACGGTGGTGATGTTGACTTACGAGCGGGAGGAAGTGCTGATGAACTCCCTAGAAAGGCTCAATGGTCTCCCCTACTTGAACAAAGTTGTGGTGGTGTGGAACTCTCCCAAGCTTCCCTCCGAGGATCTCTTGTGGCCGGACATTGGCGTCCCAATCATGGTAAGACTTATTTGTGGTGGGTTTTGCATGTTGGAGTCGTCTGTGTCAGCTCACCTTCAGTCCTGGGGATGGCTGAAGGTGTCTGTACCTCTTTTGGGTACTTTTATCAGTGGAGAAAAACAAGAGGTGCCAGGTATTTCGCACTCAGAGAATGCAAATTGCTTCTGAGGAGCCTAACGTGAATTTTGATGCTTAAAGCTAAAGATTGCTGCTCGTTGGAAATCTTTGCTTAGGCTCTTTAAGTGCCTCCCTGTGAGGACAGTTGACACCTTATAAATTCCTAAGCAGTAACTGTTTCTGCACTTTGCCAGATGAATTTTTTATTAAAACAAAAGAGAGACCCGCTGAATTAGTGTCGACTGCAAAGAGCTCAAAACTCAATTCTCACTTCATATTACAAGGGATGGCAGAGAAGGAATTAGAAGCCAAGGCTGACGTGACTGTGAGAGCTTCCATGCTCCCAAGGTTGTAGCTGACTTTTGCATATATTTGAGTTGATTATTTTTTTTCCTCAGCCAAGCTGAAGAGATGACACCTTCAAAAGCCAACATTCATTTTCAGACCCATGAAAAATGTACTCACTTGGACATTGACTTGTAAGGAGTAAATTCTACTCCAAATTTTTATTTATTTTAGGTCTTCCTTGCCATCCCAGCATAACCTCCTTCACTGGCCGTTGTTAAAAATCAAAATTAAATATAAATCTCCCCTCATAAACAGAGCAAGGGCAGAGAGCTACTAACAAGAACTGAGTGCTCTGAATCTGGTTGTGTTTAGAGGACAAATGGAAGGATAATGCCTTACAAATTAGGGAAGGGAAAAATAAAAGAGGGAGATGGTGCTTAAATACACAAACTGTGTGTGGTTTATGTGACAAGATGCTACTGAGCTTAATAGCAATGCGAGCTTTATGCTGCATGCAAAGAGATTCATTGATTTAATATTTCCTTTTATTATTATTGTGATGAATAAATCCTTCTGCTCACGTTTAAAAACCCTTATGGTCCGGGAACAATGAGGAGAGAAAATTGCTTGGTTAATTGCGAAATAATCTTTCACATTAGTGCTTTTGAACCTGTGAATTCTACAAAATCTTTGCATTGTGTCTGCCGAAAAAAACGCATCCTCCTTCGGAGCAGGGATTGTTCTCCTTGGAGCTGCTAATGGGTGTTATTTGTGAAAGAAAAATGCATTTGTGGTGATGGAAGATAATGGCTTTTTGTACCTGGCTCTCATCTGCACATCTGTTGTGTTGGAGCCCTGCTGGTTTTTTGGGGACTTGACACACACGAGTTGCTTTGTGTCACCTTCGAGCCACGCACTGGGGGGATGTTGGGAGCCAACATTTGGGAACATGTGTGGTTCCAGAGGAGGGAATTGTCGTGTGCCTGCTTTGGGGAGGTGGATGGTGACACTGTGGGGTGGCTGGGTCACAGGGAGATTCTGCCAGGTCCTTTCTGAAGGGGTGTGTTGGTCTGATAATAGCTCTGATTCTTCCCATCTTTCTATTTTAAAATCCCAACTTTTAAAAGAGCCCAAATCTGGGATTTCTCACAGGAGGGTTAGCCCTGAGCAGCCTCCAGGCATCCATCCCCCTGTTGCTAAGCCCATCTCCAAACTGGGTGTTTAATCCTGTTGGGAGCTTGTGCCAGTCATCTACAAGGGTGTTTTGGTGTGGCAGTGATGGAAAACTTCCCTGTTGGGACTATAAGGATGGTTTGGTGTGGCAATGATGGAAAACTTCCCTGTTAGGAGTTTGTACCATTCCTCTACAGGGGTGGTTTGATGTGGCAGTGATGAAAACTTCCCTGTTGGGACTGTAAAGATGGTTTGGTGTGGCAATGACAGAAAACTTCCCTGTTAGGAGTTTGTACCATTCCTTTACAAGGTGTGGCAGTGATGGAAAACTTCCCTGAAGTGAGTTTGTACCATTCCTCTACAAGGATGGTTTGGTGTGGCAGTGATGGAAAACTTCCCTGTTGGGACTATAAGGATGGTTTGGTGTGGCAATGATGGAAGAAAACTTCCCCGTTGGGAGTTTGTACCATTCCTCTATAAGGATGGCTTGATGTGGCAGTGATGGAAAACTTCCCTGTTGGGAGTTTCTATCACCCTCTTTAAGGATGGTTTGGTGTGTCAATGTTGAAAAACTTCCCTGCTGGGACTATAAGGATGGTTTGGTGTGGAAGTGATGGAAAACTTGCCTGAAGTGAGTTTGTACCATTCCTCTCCAAGGATGGTTTGGTGTGGCAGTGATGAAAACTTCCCTATTGGGAGTTTGTACCATTCATCTACAGGGATGGTTTGATGTGGCAATGATGGAAAACTTTCCTGGGCTTCCTCAGACAGTGAGAAATCCCAAAGTCTGCTCTGGAAAGGGTGACAGGAGCACTGGGAGCAGAGGTGAGGCTCTGTTTGAGCCTGTGGGATGTGCTGGCCAGAAGAGGCAGCTGGGGGCGTGGGGTTGGCAGGAGACACAAGCCAGCGTGTGCCAGTGTCAGAAGAAAGTGAGGAGCTGTGATTCTGATTTCCTTATGAGGCAAAAAAGCTCTTTTGATGGGCAATATCCAATTCTCTCAGATCTGCCAGTGCTGCTGCATCTCTGTGTAACAAACACGTTCCCAGTGACTTTGGGATGCAAGGAATCGCTCTGTGTTCAGGTCCCAAAGCACAGAGCTTTGTGGGGGAACCTGGGGGGGAGAAGAGAAGGGGATGAGGGTGGGTTTGGGCTGTGATTGAAGTGGGTCCAGGCACCACCTGACTCTGAGCAGCAGCACAGCAGCAGCACACGTGTGCCAGCATGAGCCAGGATCAAAGCACCCGGAGCCAGAAGGTCACTGAAGAAAACCCGGGCTCAGGAAGATGTGGAGCTGCTCCAGTGAGTCCAGAGGAGGCCATGGAGCTGCTCTGGAGCCAGGCTGGGAGAGCTGGGGGTGCTCACCTGGAGAGGAGAAGGATCCAGGGAGAGCTCAGAGCCCCTTCCAGGGCCTAAAGGGGCTCCAGGAGAGCTGGAGAGGGACTGGGGACAAGGGATGGAGGGACAGGACCCAGGGAATGGCTGCACACTGCCAGAGGGCAGGGATGGATGGGATTTGGGAAGGAATTGTTCCCTGTGAGGGTGGGGAGACTCTTCTTCCCAGAGAAGCTGTGGCTGCCCGTGGATCCCTGGAAGTGTCCAAGGCCAGGCTGGACAGGGCTTGGAGCATCCTGGGATCATGGAAGGTGTCCCTGCCCATGGGAGGGGGTGGGCTGAGATGGGCTTTAAGGTTCCTTCCTACCCAAACCATTCTGGAACCCACATAAACCCCCTGTGTGCTCCAGGGCAGTGGAGCTGGCACTGGGAGAGGTTTCCCACAGAAGCTGTGGCTGCCCCTGGATCCCTGGCAGTGTCCAAGGCCAGGCTGGACAGGGCTTGGAGTAGCCTGGCACAGTGGAAGGTGTCCCTGCCCATGGCAGGGGTGGGCATGGGATGATCCTTCAGGTCCCTTCCAACTCAAACCATTTTATCATTTAATGCCAATTACAAGCTAATGACACAAAGCAATGTCTGTAGCACATTAAAGAGCCTTTGGAAGCAAAATAGAGTCCTGAACCCCACCAGGGCCTGCTGGTGGCAAGAGATGTGTGGCTCTGGGCTAGCAGAATTCCCCAAAGGATAGTTGGGCTTCTCCTTCCTCCATGTGTTGACCTTATTTATTGATGTGCTCCTTGAAACAGCATTTGCAAACTGCTCTGCTTGGCTGTGATTTGGGGTTGTCCTCCCAAGCAGAATTCTTTTCCCTGGTGGGCTGGGAATTAATCAAGAGCCAAGCTCAAAGCTGCATTGGAACTTTGAATCTTTCATGGATAACGAGATAAACAGGGCTACAGAATAGATTTGATTTAAAAAAAATATTTTGACTTAAATATAGATGGCATAATTTACTAAAACATCAGTAAAATTCCTAAGCTGCACAGAAGTCTGATCAAATATTCTGTCCCTGTCCCCAGCCTGAAGTGAGTAGGTGGAAATCCAGTGCAGTGTGAAGTAGTTTGTAGTCACTCAGGGCTGCCCCTGGAACAGATGCTGGCACTTTACCCTCACATTTAAAGCTGTAAAAACTCTTCCCATCTCACATTAATTGGGATTGCAGCAAAACCCAAAGGCTGTGAGTGAGAAATCTTGTTTGTGCAAGCTCAAAACCTGACTTTTCCCCAAGTGTTTGTATCTCTAGCACTGCCTCAGGAGATCTCCCCAGGACAGGAGTGTGACAGTGCCAGCTCCAGCAGTCACACCACAGCCACTGCTGAAATTCTTTGCTGCCCAGAGAAGCTGTGGCTGCCCCTGGACCCCTGGAAATATTCCAGGCCAGGCTGGAGGGGGTTTGGAGCAGCCTGGGATGGTGGAAAGTGTCCCTGTCCATGGTAGGGGTCGGCATGGGATGATCTTTCAGGTCCTTTCCCTCCCAAACCATTCTGGGATTTGAATTCCCAGCTTGCTTTGCAATAAACTGTGTGGGATAAAACCCCGCCTGCTGTATAAATATGGGCGATCCAACACATTAAATGATTTAATTTTTTTGGTGTGATTGACTGGGTGAGCCTTAAGATCCTTTCCCACCCAAACCGTTCTGGGATTCTGTGATTTGGGGCTAAACCTTACTTAGCCCAAAGCAATATTTTCACAACCTCTGCTCACATTGTGAGATGTGACAGCCAGGACTTCCCTGTGCTGGGTTTGTGAGGGCCCTCAGTGGCTGGAAAAGCCCTGCAGCAGTTTGGTTTCTCCTCCTGCTGGAGGCATCTCTGAGCACTTAGGCTGGGTTCAGTGCCAGCTCCTGAGGCTGCCAGCAGTGACTAATCCCTTCCTCCAGCTTTGTTCCAGAATAAACCTCTGCCTTTGATCCTGCAGCCACTTCCAGTGGTGTAACATCCTTTGCTGCTGGCTGGGAGGGCTCATTCCGTTCAGCTGCTTGTTTAGAAAGGAATCAGCTGTGGAAAATGGCTCATCCTGAGGCTGC